GGATGGATTGGTTGCATGCATACTATGCTTCCATTGATTGTAGAACCCGTAGGGTCAAGTTCCAATTTCCAAGTGAACCCATTCTTGAGTGGAAAAGCCAAAATGTGGTAGTCAAGGGTAGGTTCATCTCTTGCATTAAAGCCCGTAAGTTGATCTCTAAGGGGTGTCTCTATCACCTTGTGAGGGTTAAGGATGTGGAGTCCAAAACCCTTCCTATAGAGTCGGTTCCGGTTGTAAATGAATTCCTTGATGTCTTTCCTAATGACCTTCCCGGTGTTCCTCCCGAAAGGGAAATAGATTTTGGCATAGAGCTCCTCCCCGATACTCAACCCATTTCTATTCCCCCTTACCGTATGGCCCCGGCGGAGTTAAAGGAGTTGAAGGAACAATTGAAGGACTTGTTGGAGAAGGGTTTTATTAGGCCTAGCCAATCACCATGGGGTGCTCCGGTGTTGTTTGTGAAGAAGAAAGATAGGTCCCTTAGGATGTGTATTGATTACCGGCAACTCAATAGGGTCACCGTCAAGAATAAATATCCTCTTCCTAGGATTGATGACTTGTTCGACCAATTGCAAGGGGCTAGCCATTTCTCTAAGATTGATCTTCGGTCCGGGTATCATCAAGTGAAGGTGAGGGAGTGTGACATTCCCAAAACAGCCTTCCGGACTAGGTATGGGCATTATGAATTTGTGGTCATGTCCTTTGGGTTGACCAATGCACCGGCTATCTTCATGGACCTAATGAATAGGGTCTTTAAACCCTACCTTGATTCCTTTGTTGTGGTCTTCATTGATGATATTTTAATCTATTCGCATAGTGAGGAAGAACATATGGGTCACTTGAGGGTTGTGTTGCAAAGATTGAGAGAGGAGAAGTTGTATGCCAAGTATGAAAAGTGTGAATTTTGGTTGAAAGAGGTTGCCTTCCTAGGTCATGTGGTTTCGGGGGATGGTATTAAGGTAGATCCTAAGAAGACCGATGTGATTAGAAATTGGCCTAGGCCATTGACCCCGTCGGATATTAGGAGCTTCTTGGGCTTAGCGGGTTACTACCGGAGATTTGTGAATGGGTTTTCTTCTATTGCTTCTCCCATGACTAAGTTGACACAAAAGAAGGCTAAGTTTGAGTGGACCGATGAGTGCGAAAGGAGTTTTCAAACCTTGAAAGATAAACTTGTGTCCGCTCCTATATTGTCACTACCGGATGGGCTTGAGGGATTCGTTGTGTATTGTGATGCTTCTAGAGTTGGCTTAGGTTGTGTCCTAATGCAAAATGGTAAGGTGATAGCCTATGCTTCTAGACAACTCAAAGTGCATGAAAAGAACTATCCTACGCATGATCTTGAATTAGCCGCGGTGGTGTTTGCTTTAAAGATTTGGCGTCATTACTTGTATGGGGTACATGTTGATGTGTTCACCGATCATAAAAGCCTCCAATATGTCTTCACCCAAAAAGATCTCAACTTGAGACAAAGAAGGTGGCTAGAATTTCTTAAAGATTATGATATGAGTGTGCATTATCATCCCCGGTAAAGCTAATGTGGTGGCGGATGCTTTGAGTAGGGTGTCTATGGGTAGCCTAGCTCATGTTGATATTGGTGATAGGGAAATGGCTAGGGAGGTGCATCGGTTGGCTAGGTTGGGGGTTAGGTTGGAAGAGGTTGGTAATGGTGGTGTGGTCGTTGTTGATGGTGCTAGGTCTTCCTTGGTTGATGAGGTGATAGCAAAACAAGATCTTGACTCTTCCTTGTTAGAATTGAAGGCCTTGGTGAAAGAGGGCAAGGTGGAAGTTTTCTCCCAAGGGGGAGATGGTGCCCTTAGGTACCAAGGTAGGTTGTGTGTGCCTTGTGTTGATAGTTTGAGGGAGAAAATTCTTGAGGAGGCTCATAATTCTTCCTACTCCATTCACCCCGGTTCCACCAAAATGTATAGAGATTTGAGGGATGTGTATTGGTGGGGAGGCATGAAGAAGGACATTGCCAAATTCGTCTCTGGTTGTCATAGTTGTCAACAAGTCAAGGCCGAACATCAAAGGCCGGGTAGTCTAACCCAAGACATAGAGATTCCTACTTGGAAGTGGGAAGAAATTAATATGGATTTTGTAGTTGGTTTACCCAAGACTAGAAAAGGTTTTGATTCTATTTGGGTGGTGGTTGATAGGATGACAAAATCGGCTCATTTTCTACCGGTAAAGACAACATATGGGGCGGAAGATTATGCAAGGTTATATATTCATGACTTGGTAAGGTTGCATGGGATTCCTCTATCCATCATATCGGACCGTGGTACTCAATTTACTTCACACTTTTGGAAGTCCTTTCAAAGGGGTCTAGGTACGAGAGTTAAGCTTACTACGGCCTTTCACCCGCAAACGGATGGACAAGCCGAAAGGACTATCCAAACACTTGAGGATATGCTTAGGGCTTGTGTATTGGAGCTTAAGGGTAGTTGGGATGATCATCTTCCATTGATTGAGTTTTCCTATAACAATAGCTATCATTCTAGCATCGGTATGGCTCCTTTTGAGGCTCTCTATGGGAGGCGTTGTAGATCACCGGTTGGGTGGTTTGAGGTTGGTGAGGTGGCCTTGTTAGGACCAGATCTAGTTATGGAGGCTCTTGAGAAGGTTAGGATGATTAGAGAAAGGTTGAAGACGGCCCAAAGTCGCCAAAAGTCCTATGCCGATGTGAGGAGAAGGGCTCTTGAATTCCAAGTTGGTGATTGGGTCTATTTGAAGGTGTCACCCATGAAGGGTGTGGTTCGTTTTGGTAAGAAGGGCAAGTTGAGCCCAAGATACGTGGGTCCTTATAAGGTGATGAGGAGAATTGGCAAGGTAGCTTATGAGTTGGAATTGCCTAGTGAGATGGATTTGGTTCATCCGGTATTTCATGTGTCTATGTTGAGGAAGTGTGTGGGTGATCCGAATGCCATTGTGTCTCTTGATGTTGTGGGTGTTGTTGAAGATAATTTGACCTATGAAGAGGTTCCGGTCCAGATTTTAGATAGGCAAGTGAAGAGGTTGAGAAACAAAGAGGTGGCTTCCGTTAAAGTCCTTTGGAGAAATCAACAAGTTGAAAGTGCTACTTGGGAGGCCGAAGCGGACATGCAAAGGCAATATCCTTATCTTTTCCAATCCACTCAAGCCTAAGGTATTAATTTAAGCCCTTTATAAAATCTCAGGTCTTAAGTTCAGCCCCCATGTCATTGCATACATTCATGTTTAAATTGACAAGTTCATTGTGGTTTTACAACTATGTTGAGGTTTTTGAAATAAGATGTAAGTGCATTGTTGCATCCTTATGTGGGCTGATATTGCCATGTTTGTGTCCCTCATGTACGTTCCTTTAACATTCGGGGACGAATGTTCCCAAGGGGGAGTTATTGAAACGACCCCAAAAATGTCCGAAAATGTGCTTCGGAAACACCTATAATTGTAATTTCCATATATCTCAAAATCCGTGCATGATTTCGGAAATTCGACTTCATATTCTTATTCAGGGGGTAAAATTGAGTGGGAAATGGGTCTAACCCGAATTTTAGAGCAACCGTATCAAAATTCGAAAATCCAAAAAATGCGATTTTCAGGGTCAACTTTAAAGAGGCATATCTCTTAGCACACAAGGAACTGGAAGGGCCACTAACTATTAAATTAAATCCCTTCGAGTTATCTTTCCAATGCAATTGGTTTCACCTCATTCCGAGTTAGGATGAAGGAGTTATGATCATTTTCGTAAAACCTGTCCGGGCAGAATTGCAATTTCCAGTAAGCTACGTTACTGTAGCGGCTGGGACGTTTTTCTTTTATAAAAAGAGGATTGTCCCATACTTAGTTATATTTCTTTCTAGCTTCAAAACACTCAAAAACACTCTCTATACCCTCTCCAAAATTCCACCAAGATCTTCAACCAAATTCAAACATCTCAAGTTCTAATTCCGGATTCAAGACTCAATCTCAAGCTTCAATTCTCCATTCCAATCTTCATCAAGGATTCTCCAAAGTTGAGGTATGTGGGTTGATTGTGGAAACCTTCCTTTCCACAAGTCCAACCATTTATCCTCTATTTTACTTCAAGTTTATGGGTCCTTATGATCATTTATGAACTCTTGAATTATGGAATTACTACTACACATTCTATTATGGTCTATTTATGCATATTATCATGAAATGGAATTATTATGTGATGTTTATGATTTTCATGCTTCCATGATCAAATTATGAAGGTTGATATATATATGTATGTTATTGGTGGGCTGATTTATATGTATTTCGGAATTGGTTGGACTTAGTACTCTTGAAAGACATGATTTTATCTACATGAACAATAGCCCACCATGTGTTTGATAAAATGTCATTTATAGAATTCATAGGAAATGGAAGGTCCAATGTACATCCTATGAGTCGGATGATTATATAATTATTGAAATGATGATGAAAGGGATACATGTATATGATTTTCTCAATATAGTGTTGTGAGTCGACCAAGCCTAGTACGGGGGGTAGTAGGCCCGTATAACCGTATCGAGGGGTTGGTACCTTGGTTGCCTAGTACGGGGGGTAGTAGGCCCGTATAACCATATCGAGGGGTTTGTACCTTGGTCCCTAGCTCGGGGGTGGTAGGCCCGGGTAACCACATTGAGGAGTTTGTACCTCTTTCGCCTCTCCAATGGGGTGGTAGGCCTTGGAAAATACTATATTGATGGTCACTCGCCACACATGTACTACGTCCCACTAAATATGATTTTTATGTAAGCATTATTATACATATCATTTCATTAATATGCTATTTATCGGGTATGATTATGCATTTTTCCTATGATGTCCATCTATTGTAGCATTGCATTGCATCTCATATACTTAGTACATTCAAACGTACTAATGCATACTCTATGCCTACATGATGTCACCATGTAGGGACCGGAGCACCGCTTGACCATCCTCCTCCGCGTGGCTAATACGATTTCCTATCAAGGTTATTGGTGAGTCCTCCATTCCAGGGACGTTGCTCATGATCTTTTGCTATGTATAAGACTTTTCCTTTTTAGTTATGTTTTGACTATGAGGGTGAGCCCGGTGGTTTGTCTTGGCCCCCGCTAAGTACTCATGTTTAGAGGTGGTGTTGGACAAGTTGTGTTTTATGCTTGAGCTTGACTCATCTATGGTATTTATGTATCATTCCCTTTTTTTTTCTTGCTCCCTTAGTCCCGATTTCCCCTTGATTATGCTTATCGCTTATGGTCATTTTAATTGCTTCCGCGACCAAGGATGTGTAATGATATGCTATGAGGCTTGTTTGGGGTTCCTTCGGGTTCCCCATTCGCCGGTCACGTCTAGGCCCTAGGCTTGGGTCATGACAACCTTGATATCTCAATACACCATATCCCCCTTGTTCAAAACCTAATACTCTTTGATTTTGAACATTTTCCTTCAAGTCGAGGGAAATGGGGTCTTGTTCTTGCTTTTCCTTCACTTCTGACACTAGTGATGATTCTGCCTCATTCGTCACCACTATTCCTCCTTCTGTGGAATCCATAAGTCTAACTCCCAAGCGTGCAAGTTTGTGCACATCTTTGGCTAACTCCCTATTTTCTTCCTCAACATGGGTGGTACTACTCATGGATAACCTGCTTAAAGCATCAGCAACCACATTAGCCTTACCTGGGTGGTAAAGAATACTCATGTCATAATCCTTGAGTAATTTCAACCACCTCTTATGTCTGAGATTGAGCTCTTTCTGAGTGAATACATATTGCAAGCTCTTGTGATCAGTGAATATATTAACATGAACACCATATAAGTAGTGTCGCCAAATCTTCAAGGCGAAAATTACAACGGCCAACTCTAAGTCATGGGTTGGATAATTCTTCTCATGAACCTTCAACTGTCTGGAGGAATAAGCTATCACCTTCCATTCTGCATTAACACACAACCCAAACTAACTCTGGATGCATCACAATACACCACAAAACCTTGAGTATCCTCTGGTAAGGTCAAAACTGGGGCACTAGTCAACCTCTTCTTCAATTCCTGAAAGCTCTTCTCACAAGCTTTAGACCATTGAAATTTCACTGTCTTTTGAGTCAACTTGGTCAACGAAGATGAAATAGACGAGAACCCCTCTACAAATCTCCTATAATAACCAGCCAAGCCCAAGAAACTCCTAATATCAGTTGGAGATGTGGGTCTAGGCCAATTCTGCACTGCCTCAATTTTCTGATGAGTATCAACTCTAATACCATCACTGGAAATAATATGGCCCAAGAATGCCACAGACTCAAGCCAAAACTCACACTTAGAGAACTTGGCATACAACTCCTTATCTTTCAAGGTATGAAGAACTATTCTGAGATGACTAGCATGATCTTCTTCATTCCTTGAATAGATTAGTATGTCATCAATGAAGACGATAACAAACATATCTAAATAAGGTTTGAAGACTCTGTTCATAAGATCCATGAACACTGTTGGTGCATTGGTCAAACCAAAGGACATGACCAAGAATTCATAATGATCATATCTAGTCCTGAATGTTGTCTTTGGAATGTCACATTCCCTAACTTTCAACTGATGGTAGCCTGATCTGAGATCAATTTTCAAAAAACAGGTGGCACCCTGAAGTTGATCAAATAAATCATTTATCCTTGGAAGAGGCTACTTATTCTTGATGGTAACCTTATTTAATTGATGGTAATCTATACACATCCTAAGGGAACCATCTTTCTTTCTCACAAACAAGATCGGAGAGCCCTAAGGTGAGACACTTGGTCGAATGAAACCCTTATCTAAGAGATCTTTCACCTGCTCTTTCAACTCTTTCAACTCTTTCAACTCTGTTGGTGCCATTATGTATGGCGGAATAGAGATAGGACGAGTATCTGGAATGATGTCTATACCAAAGTCTATTTCTCTCTCAAGAGGGACTCCGGGTAGATCATCAGGAAAGACTTCTGGAAACTCTCTTACTATAAGAACTGACTGAATTGGAGGTACCTCAACACTTGAATCATTAACTCTGACTAAGTGATAGATACAGCCCTTTGAAACTAACTTTCTCGCCTTAAGGTATGAAATGAAACGACCCTTAGGCACAGTTGAACTACTACTCCACTCTATGACTGGCTCATTAGGAATCTGAAACTTGACAACTCTAGTTCTACAATCTATTTATGCATAATAGGCATGAAGCCAGTCCATACCTAGAATGACATCAAAATCTGCCATGTCTAGTTCAACTAGATCAGCCATGGCGTATTTGTGATTGATGGAAACAGGACAATCACGATAGACTCTTTCTGCTAGAATAGACTCCCCGACAGGTGTGGAAACACAAAAAGATTCACAAAGTTTCTCAGGGATAACATCAAACTTAGTTGCAACATAAGGGGTCACAAAAGATAAATTGGCTCCTGGGTCTAGCAAAGCATAAACATCAAAAGCAAGGACTTTGATCATACAAATGACAACATCTGGAGATGTTCTCTTGCTCTTGGAGACTGGTGATTGCATAAAGGCGGTTTGCACCTCCGCTAGTACCAGAAGTAGCTCCTCTAGGTGCAGCCTTGTCTGGTTGAGTAACTGATGAAGACTAGGCTCTATTGCCTGGATTTCCACTACCTTACTTATTCTTAGGACACTCTTTCAAGAAGTGTCCCTATTGTCCACACTTGAAACAACCTGTCAAGCCATCACGACACTTACCTGGGTGGGTTCTCCCACACTTAGCACATCCAGGAGCCCAACTACCTCATTGTGCCACACTACCCTGGGACTGCGCTGGTTTAGAGCTGAAGTTCTGCAAATTCTTACCATAATATTCGCCTTTGTTTCAAGGTGCAGGTGCACTAGCAGATGATGTTGCAGGCCCCTTTTGCTTCTGCTAAAAGGACGAACGATTCACAATGCCTTCTGTTGCCCAGACTCATTCCCTGTCTTAGCTTTCTTACTTCTGAACTCTTCCCTGTCTCTCAGATTCTCTTCCTCAACCTCCTGCACATAAACCATCAACCTTGATATGTCCATGTCACCTATCAGCATTGCTGCCCTGCCCTCTTTGCTTGACAGACGACCCAAGCCAGCAATAAACAAGTTCATTCTACTCCTCATGTCCTTAACCATTTCAGGAGCATAGCGGGACAGCTGGGTGAACTTCAACCCATACTCATGCACACTCAAGAAATCCTGTTTTAGTGTAAGAAACTCTCGTACCTTAGCCTCCTTCAGTTCTCGGGGAAAGAAACGCCCCAAGAAGGCTTCCTCAAAACAAGCCCAACTAGCAAGTGGTGCATTCTAAAGTCGACCCCCTTTCCACTGATCAAACCATGTTCTAGCAACATCCTTCAGTTGATATGCAGCTAGTTCAACTCACTCAGTATCTGTCACATGCATCACATCAAATACCTTCTTCAGCTCCTCAATAAAAAATTTCGAATCCTCAGTAGTGACCGAATCAGTGAAACTATGAGGATTCATTCTCAAGAATTCGCGAATCCTCGAAGTGTCAGCCTCATCTTGTCTTGGTCCTCTTGGCTGCCCAACCTGGTTAGTCACAGCTTGGCTCAGTATTCGGATAGCCTTACGAAATTCAGCATTAGTGACCTCGCCCTGAGGTTGCACATTTGGTGCATTAGGTACCCTTTGCTCTTGTGGTTCAACATTTCTCCTAGCTAGACGACCTCGTGTTGCTCTTCGTGGAGGCATGGTTATCTGTAACACACACAAGCACGAATTAGAGGGAAACTTTTAGCGATAAACTCTAACGCACGAGATGGATATGAAGGGATTGAAGAATTTCCTAAATGTTGCAGCCTTCTAATTATAGATGTGGCGCGCTTCACACCAATAACTAGAACTCTACTGACACGGCTTCATAGACTCCCTAGGACTCTTAAACTCTGTACTCTGATACCAAGTTTGTCACGCCCCGAGCCTACACTCTGGACGTGGCCGGCACTCGGAGACCATCGCTGGCCCCAAGCGAACCCTTGGCCTGGCTTACTTAACTCAGCGGAAGACTTAAATCAACAGAATAAACTCAATGCAATAGTTTAAATGATAACATCTTAGCCAAAATGGCAACTTATGTCTCAAAACAAAGTATCTGCAAATACATAGATGAGAGACTCAATACTAACTGTCTGACTGTCTATGAACCCTCTATAATACTGAGATGGATGTTGGGACAGACCCCACAACATCCTAATAAAGCAAAACTAGGAAAGCGAAATAACAGAGTTCTCCGGAATGCAAGGAGGCTCACCACTAACTCTGGAGTGCTCAACTGGATCAATGGCGTGTTGGATGCTGATCCTGGTTACCTGTGTCTGCATCATAATAAGAAGCAGGCCAACTGGCATCAGTACATTGAATGTACGAGTATGCGAGTTGGAAAGCTAAACAACAACTTAAGCTTGAAAGAAGTACAAAAGGAACACTTACCTTGGCTCTATTTAACTCATGAACAACTAAACTCAATATAATGCAATATATATAAAGCTTATAAAATAGTGTAAACAACTTAGTTTGTTAAAGATAAAGCAATAACAAACTCAACTTTACTTAAATGTAAAAGTAATATAACTTTTGTGGGAGATTCTCTAACCGACAACCACCACTATGAGCCTAAGTGGTGATACAGCGTCTTGCCCACGTTGCCAGAACTGTCCTATACTTTGCTGTCATATAGAATGCTTAACTTAGTGGATCCACTAGTCTATGCTAAAAGCATTTTAAGGAGTCATCTAAAAATTATGATCATTTACTACCCATGATGGCTACATGGTTTATAGAGACTTGAGTTAATATGAACTCGCATCCCCATATCGGTGCTCAATACTACTCCCAAAATATACTTAGCTCATATGTTTGAAAAAAGAAAACTCTTTCTTTGAATTGAGATAATTACTCAAAACTTAGCTTAAAAGCTCTCTTGGAATTGATGTTCCCTTTCTTGCTCAAATGTGAAAACATTTATAAACTCTTTGGGAATACTTAGTCCCCTAATAACTTTTGAGAAATGAACTCAACTCTTTACTCTTTACTTTACTTGAAACTTGAGCCTTAAAACGAAGTTTAAACATTTAATAAAGACTCTTGAAAACTTTAAGAAACTTTGAT